CCGTGTAAAACAGCTCCCAGACGAGGCACCGGTGTTCAAAGCGCGTTACGTAGCCAAGGGCTTCACCCAGCAGCGGTACCGCGACTTCGACCTAATCTTCTCCCCCACATCCAAACCTCCCACCATTCGAACGCTCATGGATGTTGCAGCTCGAGAAGACTTTGAGATCAAATCCATGGATGCCTCCTCCGCCTTCCTACAAGGACGTCTCAAGGAGACAGTGTTCATGGACAGACCAGAAGGCTTCCCAGGAGAATTCCCTCCCAACACTGTCTGGAAGCTGAATCGCCCTGTCTACGGCCTTAAACAAGCCCCTCGCGAATGGCACATCAAGGTGAAAGAAGTCCTCCTCTCCCTGGACTTCCACCCCTCAACTGCTGACCCGACTCTCTTCATCCGTCGTCATTCTGAGCCATTCTACATCCTAGTCTACGTGGATGATTTTATCCTCGTTGCCAAGGACTCGGCCCAAATGACCTCAGTCCAGGCAGCCCTGAGCAAGGCCCTCCAGATGAAAGACCTCGGTGACCTCAAGCACTACCTGGGAATGGAGATCACTCGTGATCGCAAGGCTCGCACCATCTCACTCTCCCAGGAGTTCTACATCGACAATGTGCTCAAGCGGTTGAGATGGAGCTGTGCACACCTGTTGCCACCCCGCTGCCGCTGCAACACCTCCTTACAGCTCCTGCTGTACCCACACCAGAGGCCTGCTCTAAGCCATACCCGAACTTGTTGGGTCCCTCATGTACGCCATGATGTGCACCCGACCGGACTTGGCCTACCCAGTCAGTGTTCTCTCTCGTTACGTGGCCCCGGGTCGCTTCACTAATCTTCATTGGAAGGCAGCAAAGCGGGTGCTGCGCTATCTTAAGGGCACAAAGTCCCACGTTCTCACACTCGGTGGGCTCTCCCCTCCTCGCCTGGAAGGTTACACAGACTCCTCCTGGGCTGATGACCAGGCCGACCGACGCTCCTCTCAGGGGTACTGCTTCACCCTCGGGAGCGGAACTGTCAGTTGGCGCTCCACCAGGTCGTCTGCAGTCTCCCTCTCCTCCTGTGAGGCGGAGCTCTACGCAGGCACCATGGCTGCTCAGGAGGCCCGTTGGCTCACCTTCCTACTCCAGGAGCTTGGCTTCCCTCAGTCAGCCCCCACCCTCTGGTGTGACAACCAGAGTACCATCCACATCTCTCAAGACCCTGTGTATCACACCCGCACCAAGCATATTGAACTTCGGCACTTCTTCATTCGTCACCTTGTGCAACAAGAGCAGCTGAAGGTGGAATACGTGGCATCTGACTGCAACCTGGCTGACCTGTTCACCAAGCCCCTTGGGAAGGTTCCCCACCATCGTCTCCTTGGCGCCATGGGGCTCTGCGCTCCTCCCTCTCCGCCATGAGTTCGATTGACGCCTCAGGGGGGGTGTTGGTGTTAGGCCCCAATCTCACATTTTGTACTTGAACTTTTATATCCTAGTTTAGTGTAGTTTGCACTTTGTGTTTGGTTGGGTGTACACCCACATCCCAACCAAACCCAAATGTAATCTCCAAGCAATCTCCAACCCACCAATTGGAGATTGCCTTGGGATTACCCTTGATTCCCTAGGATTGCCTCCTGATTCCCTCCTCATCCCTACCTTGCTCATTCCGGATGTACTTAAAGAGCTTTGAGCTCACTACTATAGTATCGATTCTAAGCTCAAGTTCTGACCCCCCACCCCCCCACCCCCCCACCCCCCCACCCCCCCACCCCCCCACCCCCCCACCCCCCCACCCCCCCACCCCCCCCACCCCCCCCACCCCCCCCACCCCCCACCCCCCCACCCCCCCACCCCCCCACCCCCCCACCCCCACCACCCCCCACCCCCCACCCCCCCACCCCCCCACCCCCCCCACCCACCCCACCCCTCAACCCCCGGCCAGCCCTCTCTTTCCTTCGCCACGTGCTCTCCTCCTCTTTACTGCCCCACAGATCTCTCTGTACCCTCGTCCTCCTGTGGGGCATGCCTGGTTGCGGCCAGCAGTGGGGGCCATCGAGCTCTCCCAGAGGATTCTATCAGGCTGTGCCGCTGTCGGCTCACATCCCCAGTATTTTCCATGTGGCTCCGTTTGTTGTGCCACCCCACCACCCCACCCCTCCCCAGATCTATCTCTACCCTCGTCCCCCTGTGGGCTACGCCTGGTTGCGGCCAGCAGTGGGAGCAATCGAGCTCCCAGAGCTTCTATCAGGCCGTGCCTTGGTCTACTCACCACCAATACTTCCCCTTCCGCTCTGCCTGTCATCCCTCCATCTACATCTCACCCAACCCTGCGTTTTTCCACAGATCTCTCTCTACCCTCGCCCCCCAGTTGGCTACGCCTGGTTGCGGCCAGCAGTGGGAGCAATCGAGCTCTCTCAGAGCTTCTATCAGGCCGTGCCGCTGTCGGCCCGCAAGCAGACGGACAAGGGGGGCAGTGCGGAGGGCATTGCTGCTCTGCTGCAGCTGCCGCACGTGGACGAGGGGGTGGTGAAGAAGCTTACTAGAAAGGTGAGCTGCTGTGTGGGCAGGTGAGGAGTGGTGTGGGCAGGTGAGGAGTGGTGTGGGAAGGTGAGGAACAGTGTGGGAAGGTGGGGTGTTAGTGCTGAAAGCCTGGAAGGAGGGCATTGCTGCGCTGCTGCAGCTGCCGCATGTGGACGAGGAGGTGGTGAAGAAACCCATGAGCAAGGTGAGAAGCGGTGTGGGCAGGTGAGGAGGGGTGTGAGAGGGTGGGAGATGCTGACTGAGGAAGTCCAAACCGTCCTGCTCACCAGTATTGAGTGTCTGACTGCAGCAGAAGCGTGTTTTGAGACGTCTCAAAACTCACCAGTATGGAGTGTCTGACTGCAGCAGAAGCGAGTGATGCGGAGACCACCCGGAGCACCATGCCTGAGATGGTCGTCAACATTCCCTTCCCCTCTCCCTCCTTTTTTCTCCCCTCGTCATGCACCAGAAGCTGAAGAATTTCCAGGAGCTCAGGGAAATGACAGAGGAGGCCCGCACCGAACTGCTCACCACAGTGGGAGGACTCAGCACATCAGAAGCGAGCGACGTGGAGGTGCTGGTCCACACTGCCTTTCCTTTTTCCTCCTTTCCCCTCCCCTTGTCCAACAACAGAAGCTTAAGAACCTCCAGGAGCTCAGGGAACTAAGCGAAGAGGCTCGCACCGACCTGCTCACCACAGTGGGGGGTCTCAGCCCTGCAGAAGCCAGTGATGTGGAGGCGACTCTGAGCACCATACCTGAGATGCTGGTGGACGCCGGCGTGCATCACGCAGGGCGCAGACGACGGCATTCAGGAGGGGGACGTCGTCACCCTCCGCATCTGGCTCACCCTCCCGCCGCGGCAACGGGCATGTAGTCTCCCACCCCACATGCCGCACTTTCCCTACCGAAAAGACGAGGCCTTCTGGCTGATGCTGGCCGACCAAGCCGGGAACTCCGTCTGGCTCTCCCAGCGGGTGACTTTTCTGGATGAGACCGCGGCGATTCGGGCGGCGGCGGATTATACGAGAGAGACGGTGGAAGCGGAGGGGTTTGATGATGCGGAGGTGGCGAGGGAGGTGAAGGAGGCAGTTGAGAGGGTGAAGGGCGGCGCGCGGCTGGTGATTGGGAAGTTTCAGGCGCCGGCTGAAGGGGTGTATGCGCTGACTGTCATGGTGATGAGCGACGTTTGGATTGGGTGTGACAAGAAGGTTCCTCTCAAGATCAAGGTGCGTGTATTTTCGAAACCTTTAAACCTAACCATGGGATGGGATGGTGTGGCGCTGCTGGTGATTGGGAAGTTTCAGTCGCCGGCTGAAGGGGTGTATGGGCTGACTGTCATGGTGATGAGCGACGTTTGGATCAGGTGTGACAAGAAGGTTCCTCTCAAGGTCAAGGTGCGTGTATTTTCGAAACCTTTAAACCTAACCATGGGATGGGATGGTGTGGCGCTGCTGGTGATTGGGAAGTTTTAGTCGCCGGCTGAGGGGTGTATGCGCTGACTGTGATGGTGATGAGTGACGTTTGGATCGGGTGTGATAAGAATGTCGCTTTGAAGATCAAGGTGAGTGTACTTTTGAAACATTGAAACCCACTCATGGCATGGGATTGCATGGAAGTGTTGGTGATTGAGAAGGTTCAGGCGCTGGGTGAAAGGGTGTATGGTTGGTAATTGGGTTGGTAATTGGGTTGGGAATTGGGTTGGGAATTGATCCTTATTCAAGCGTGAGGCGTGGGTGCCTGCTGAAGGGGTGTATGCGCTGACTGTGATGCTGATCAGTGACGTGTGGATCGGGTGTAATAAGAAAGTCCCTCTAAAGATCAAGGTATGTGTGGTGTGGGGTGGGATGGGATGGGATGGGATGGGATGGGATGGGATGGGATGGGATGGGATGGGATGGGATGGGATGGGATGGGATAGGGTGAGAACAAGGGCTGGAACATGTGGGGCAGTGGTGATTTTGGAAGGGTTCAGAGAGAGCGACAAGGTGTTGTGTACGGTTCTCTCTCCTCCCCACTCTCTCCCTCGCCGCTCCCTCTTTTTCCTCCCCTTCACACCCTTTAGGTGGGCAAGAGAACACGGGCCGGAACAAGGGGGGCAGTGGTACCTTCAGAAGGGGCTGGGGAGAGTGACGAGGAGGGAGAGGAGGATGATGACTACATGAGCGAGTATAGTGAGGATGAGGAGGAAGAGGGGGAGGGGGAGGGGAAGAAAGGAGGGAGGGTGATAAAACGGAGGGCTCGGATGGCAGTGGAGAGGAGGATGAATCTGAGCCGTTGATAGATGGCAAGAAGAAATGAGAGGTCATGCCAGAACTCATCTCTGGTTGCACGGTTGCATTCTTTGCTCAACAACTCCGACCTCAATTCATTTTCTGTAGGCTTATTTTAGTGCACCTCGTTGATATTTATGCATCGCATACCGTACATTTCCGTTTTTCTAATAATGTCGGTGAAGTACTCATAAAAAAGCTGGCAATGCAAGCACAGAGAAAGCCACCTGCATTGCGTACAAAAATGGTTTCACAGGGCACCTGCCGCTTCCTACTCACCCACACTGAGCTTTTTTAGTAAGCCGCACAATTCCCACCGTAAACGCATCACGTCTCACTTAATACACATCCCACCGTAACAATGAAACGAAACACATCACTTGCGCTTTCGCTTGCCCTTGCCTCTCCTGCTCGTCCTCCCGGAATCCTGTGGCGTGGCAGATATGGTGTGTGTGGGTAGAAACATTTTCACTTGTTTAGGTGTGTGTGTGTGTGTGGAAGTAAAGGAAGCAGGTGGCACTGAACCCCCGTAGCAATGTGGAACACCACAAGGCAACAGGCAGCGAAAAATCTGGAACAGCAGTGTGACACTGAACCCCCGTAGCCATCCCCACTGTGAACCCCATTGTGAACCCTGCAGTGAAACAAGGTCAGCCAGCATACCATATTGCATGACAACCAACGAGCTCAAGTGATCGTCCCTTAGGACCTGCAGTGCAAAGGTGTGTCAACTCACGACTTACCCTGAGGTGTTGACGATAGGCAATGCGGCCGTAAAGGGTCTTCCCTGATGCTGTCACATACACCTGCAGCAGGCACACATGGGCAGGGTGGGAGGGACACACAGACGGATAAGATATCTTAGGTGCCTCAGACCACCGCTGTTACCAGCAGCACCCCTTCCCATACAACCACCACCGCCCCCACCACCCCTTCACGTAGGTTTCTTCTTATTAAGCTTCTCAAAAGATACCTATAGCAAGGTGAGAACAGCTCACCTTCTTGCTGCCCTCTGCTACCCAGTGACCGCCGCTGCTACCGGCAACACCCCTTCCTATACCCGCCACCGCTGCTGCCACCAGCAGAGGTTATGCAATATTGGGAGCAGAGACAGTGCAGATAACTCACCTTCTTGCCGCCCTCTGCTACCCAGTGACCGCCGCTGCTGCTAGCAGCAGCACCCCTTCCTATACCTATATCCACCACTGCTGCTGCCATCACCACCCCTTCCAGAAGGTATTTTTCTCGAATTCTCAAAACACACCTAAAACAAAGTGTGAGACAGCTCACCTTCTTGCCACCCTCTGCCACCCAGTGACCACCACTGCTACCAGCAACACCCCTTCCCGTAACACCACCACCACTGCTGCCACCACCACCACACCAGCCCTGGAAGCAAACAGCACCACCGCCACCACCACTCCCTCTCCTCCTCCCACTGCCCCCTTGCTGCTGGGAAAGCTGCTGCTGCCGTCCAAATCCCTCCCCTCCCATCCTCCCCCCATTCCTAGCAGCGCTCCCAGCACCACCAGCACCAGCAGGCTGCTGCGGGCACATGTAGTGAGGTGCATTTTGAGGCGCCTCAAAATGCACCTTCCTAGCAGCGCTCCCAGCAGCACCAACACCAGCAGGCTGCTGCGGGCATGGAAACCCGGAACCCCCCGACCTCATAGCAGCCATTCTCATTCTCATTCTCATTTCCATGCGCTTGAGAAAAAGGGCGGCCTCCTCTGTCAGTATCTGCCCCGGAGGGAGTTTCGGAGCCAAACTGGCATCGGTAGTCGATGAAAACAGGGTCACCGTTGGCATCGCACCCCCGCTCCTCCAGCCACCCCACCAGCTGCAGGTGCGGCAGGCGCCGCTGCAGCAGCTGCCTCGTAGCCTCCGACAGCGTGGGTGTTGTTGCCGGAGTCTGTGTTGCGGGTGGCTGATGCATGGAACTTGACGGCACAGGTGTTGCTGCCGGGGTCTGCCTTGGGGGCTGTTGTGTGGCGCCTTGCCTTGGCATGACGTGGGACAAAACAGGGGTCTGTGTTGAAAGCGGGTGTTGCTTCAACGCGTCAGTGAAACGACCTGGTAGTTGAGAATTCTCAAAAACCAGCTCGTGTTGCAACGCGTCAGTGAAACGACCTGGCGGTTGAATCACTGAGCTCCGTCTCTGGGTGTAGCCAGTTCCCACCGCCCCCTCACACACATCTGCTGCCCATCCCTCATCGTCTCCATCCAAGAACAGCCGCCGCCGCAACCCCTCCACCTCTCCACACCTCTCCTCTCTCCCCTCACCCTCCTCTCCTCTCTCACCCGCCTCCCCTTCCTCTCGCCCCTCCGGAGGCGTGTCCTCTATATCTTCTACATCTATCATGTTTCTCACACCCACCATCTCAGTATCATCCTCAATATCATCATCCATCCGCAACCACGTCTGAGGTAGTCTAGGCATCGCTGGGCAGGACATGGGGCGCTTAGACGGTACTGGAGCAGGCATTAACGGGGCTGCAGGGGAACGCCCTACACAGCTGGATGAGCGGTGACAGCTTGCTGTTGCTGCAAACCCAGGTGCTGTTGTCTTTGATAATGGTGGGTTGTCTGTTGCTGCTGCTGCGGCTGCTGTTGCTGTGTCTGCTCGTCGCCTGGGTGATGGTGTGGCTGCTGCTAATGATGGTGCTGATGGTGAGAGCAGCATCGGAGAAGGCGAGCTGCACACAAACCCCATGCCCGCTTTCAAAGGCGCCTCTGACTGGCTCCCCTCCCCCAGTTCCTTCCGTCTACCCTCCTTCGTTTCCTCCTCCTTCCTTCTCTCCTCCTTCCATCGTTCCTCCTCCCTTCTCTCCTCCTTGCTCTCTCCCGCCCTGCCCCTTACCTCTACAGCCTTTCGCAGCCTTTTAAACCTCCTCCCTCCGTCTCTCTCCGCACTTGCAGCAGCACCACCAGCACTACCAGCAACATCAGCATGAGCCCCAGACACCTCAACCTTCACCTTCTTACCACTCTCAACCCTCCCATAAACACCATCTCCAAGGGCTCTCTCACTCCGTTCATCTTCACGATACCTCTCGCCGTCCCATCCCACTGCCACTCGCTGCTCAACTGCCCCCTGCTTCCCTTCCCAGGCTTCCCTCTTTGCCAACCCTTCGTCATCCCCCACTGTGCTCTCCATCTTTCTATGACTCCGCTCAAAAACTCTCTCTGCTGCTCCTTGTTGCCCGTCCCTCTCTGTCATGCATTGCCCATCCCCCAACGCGCCCTCTTCCCCATCCCACCCCTCCAGCCCCAACGAGAAACTGGGTGCGTCCAAACCCTGTGACGCCTGAAATCCTGATTCCTGTGTCCCCGATTCCTCCGGCGCCTCAAAAGCCGTCTCATGCTTCACGCCCATCTTTGGAGGCGCCTCAGGATTCAAGGAGAAGCTGGGAGCGTCCAGGCCCTGTGAGGGGGAGAAGTTCATCCCATCAAGTTCTGCCTGAATCTCAGAGGGCTGCACGAGAGGGGGGACTTTGGAGGCGCCTCAGGATGAAACGAGAGGCTGGGAGCGTCCACTCCCTGTGAGGGGAGGAAGTTCATCCTCGCATCAGGTTCCATGTGAAGCTCGGAAGGCTGCACGTGGAGGGAGAAGGACGGCGGTTCAAAGTCAAACTCGCCCATCGCCATCCCCTCCCCCTCCTCCAAGGCCTCCGCTTCGTCCTGTACACACCGTGCGTCCTCATCTGCTAATACTTTCTCCTCCGCCCCGCTTAGATTCTCCTCTTCCCTTCCTCCATTTGCACACTCTCCTCTCTCCTCCTCTCCTCTACCCTCCCCTCCTTTCCCCACCTCTCCTCTACCCTCCTCTCCTCTCCCGACTCCTCTCCCCTCACTTCTCCCCTCTCTACTCCCCGCAAAACCTGACTGCACCATCTCGCTACTGCCTCCTGCCTTCTCCCTTCCTTCCCCCTCCTCATGCCCCACCTCTTCGCGTCTTCTCACTTCTCCTCCCTTCTTCCCTTTCCCCCGCCCTTCGCTTCCCTCTCTTTCCTGCTCTTCCTCTACCCTTATCCTTCCGCCCCCGCCTTTGTCTTCCTCTTGTGAATCTGAAAGAATCTCCAACCCATCCACCTTTCTCCTCCCTCCTTCCCTTGCACTTTCCATAACAATTTCGACCGTGGACTGCTCAATCAAGGACTGCCACGTGGCTTCGTCGTCAGGCTGAGTCATCATGGAGTCGTCACTGTCAGCATCCCTGCCATCATGGTCAGCATCCCTGCCATCATTGTCAGCATCCCTGCCATCATTGTCAGCATCCCTGCCATCATTGTCAGCATCCCTGCCATCATTGTCAGCATCCCTGCCATCATTGTCAGCATCCCTGCCATCATTGTCAGCATCCCTGCCATCATTGTCAGCATCCCTGCCATCATTGTCAGCATCCCTGTCATCATTGTCAGCATCCCTGTCATCATTGTCAGCATCCCTGTCATCATCGTTCCCACCCATCGTTCTGTCTTGTTCCTCTCTTCCTGCCCCCTCCTCCCTTTCAACTGATTCTTGTACTCCGATATTCCCTCTTCTCTCCTCCCCCATCCACTTTCCTGCCTCCTGCTCCTCCTCCTCCTCGTTACCTATCACACGTCTCCTCTTCCTCCTCCCTCCACACTCTCTCACGTGCCGCTCCCTTAACCCCTCAAGTTCACGCTCATCCTGCTCTTCCTCCTCTGCCTCCTTCTCTCTCCCCTCCACCTCCCCCCCTTCCTCACCTGCCTCTTCCTCCTTTTCCTCCTCATTTTCCACCGCTTCCTCCTCTCCCTCCTCTGCCTCCACTCCCTCCTCTTCCCCGTCCTCATCCAACCAATCACCATCACCAGCAGCATCACCATCGCCATCACCATCATCAGCACAACCACCATCGCCATCGCCATCACCATCACCACCATTGTCATTACCATCATCATCGGACCAATCAGCAATGGTTTTGATCCTCCTCCTCCTCACCACAGCAGGTATCCCACACCGCCATGCAGTCGGGTGAAACACCGTGCCACTCCCAAACCCCCCTCTACCATCACTTCCTAAGTCCCCTCTATTGTCACTCCCGAACCCGCCTCTAGTATCACTCCCCAGTGTAGTCACATCCAACCCTCTCAAACCCCCAAATGTCCCAATTTCACTGACGCTCCTCCACGCCCTCTCTCCCACACTCCCCATACCCACACTCGCTCCCTCTCTCCCCCTCACTCCGCCACCAATCCCCGCAACCCTTCTCTCTCCAACACACTCTCCTCCTTCTCCTCTGAAACCTCCCCCGCTTACCCCCTTTCCCTCACTTGTCCCCCCTTTTCCTCCCCTTCCCGCTGTGCCACCCTCTCCACCTCCCCCCCCTCCACCTATGCCTGCCACTGGATGTGCTTGTCTTTTCTGCTGCCAGCTGGACCAGATCGGCTGTTGCACAGAAAACGACAAACGAGGCTTCTGCGGAACGCTATGCTTTCCCTTGAACAGCCTCTTTCTCGTTGGGTCCTGACGTGGCGGCTCGGCCATTTTGGACACGTCATCCTGACTCGGCACCAAATCGAGCTCAATCACCTCCGCCGTAACTCCTAAGGTCACATCGTCTAATGTCACACCTCCTGAAGTTGCACCTTGCGTTTTTGCTGATCCTCCCACTGCTCCTTCATCAGTCACATCACATACAGTCACACCTTCTCTAGTCACAAATTCGTGGTCAGATTTCTCTGATGATGGTGCTGCTGTTACCCCATCCGCTCCATGCGAATCCCATCTGAACCGAGCGGACGGCTGAGATGGAGCCTGCGAAGCTGATGGCTGTGATGGATCTGGCTGCGACGGACTGGGCGAGACCTGTTGCGAAGATGTTACGGGTTCCTGCGACAAATAACGCGACAGTGGTGCCTGAATCTTGCGACGGGATTGGCTAAGCGGGAGAGGCCTCGAGCTATTTCTGGACTTGCCACGTGGCGGCATTGTATAGGCGGTAAATCCAAGACCGCTGATGAAAAACCCTGGCCTCTTCTTTGCTGTCGACGAAAGCGGTTTTGCAAACACGAGAAATTTAAAGTATAGGATACCGTAAGTCAATAGCGCCTTATATTACGCGAGTCTGAGGTATCGCGAATTGGATCATCTGGGCAACGCGAGGCAGAGTCGAAAAAGCCACGGCTGGAACTGAAACCCTAACAAATACCTGCTCACTCAAGTCAAAGCCACCCTACGCTCGGTCAAAGCACTAACCGGAGCAGGCACAACAATCTCAACGGTCAATTATAAGACTGGTCTCAACCCAGACTGCCCAGTCGAATGGCGCTGCAACTATGAGCCAAGCAACCTCAAGTTGCGAGGCGTCAAGTTGACGACGACTCGCCGTTATTCTCGACAATTTCGGGGCGTGTGCGGGACAGAATCGAACAGATTCAAATATTCGAATTGGGCGTACACTCCCACACTACTGTGCATTTTTTTGCAAAATTGGCATTGTACAGTTATGCTGCTTTTACTGTGGCTTGATCACAAATTGCTTATGTTGTGTTGTGTGTAGTTCAGCTTTGCCGAGCCTTTGACAGCAGCAACAGATGACAATAAAGAAAGGTTTTCAACCAACCAAAAGCAGATTTGCCTTGACCATGGTTCTGCACATCTTATTCTCTGCCTCACATACTAGCTCATTCTTACAGTTGGTGCATGTGCCTCTTATTTCCGCCAACCTAGCCCCTCCACTCCCTAGGCTTCATAGGGAGCTTCGAGTCCCGCCGTGGTTCCTAGATCCCGCCTAACTACCAGCGACTTTGCACTTGGCATTGAATCCGACACTTGGTTTGCTCACGCTAGCACTCGTGGCACAGCCAGTCTATTCCTATGCCAGAAGCGTACTGGGACGATCTTAGTATTAGTGCTAATTAGGTTGAGAAGCAGATCATTTCGACGTTTAGATATTTCGATACTCCACCACTCCGATTTTGTGCATGTTCGACTGCATTTCGAGGGCTTTCTTTAGTGAATCTGTCTGCTGCCTGGCCGCTGTACTGAAGTCATAGGAACCGTCAGGTTCAGGAAACGCAACTTGATTGTCGGCGCCAGTAGCTTTCTCCGGTTCCCGAACCAAATTTATCGTTGTTCTCTCCTAGTAACCAACGGTTTGGATTCAGTTCTGGTAGTTATCTTCGGATTAAAGCCGAGCGGGTACAGAGATTTAGAGGAAGGATTCTGTCTCGTTATCGTTTAAAGCCGTTACAATAGTCGTCGCGGAATTCCGTACCTTTCCCGTGACTTGGAACATTCCGTACGCGTTTTAAGGCTGAGGCGGCTCGACGGAGGAGAGGGAAACGTCGCGGACTACACACTTCTGTATCGAATTGGCGTATATCGAATCAGCTTGCCAGAATGAGTGTACGTGCCATTTAATCCACGCAAGCTGATATCCTTCTTTCCCTGTTCGCCCTTTCCTCCCCTTTCCCCTCCCTCCCCATTTAATCCGCTTCTCTCCTTCCTTCTCCCCTTTTTCCTGCTCCCCCTTCCCTCCTCGCAAACTTCACTTTTCTGTCGTTAAAGTCTTCCGTGAGCTGTCTGAATCGGCAGCAGGAGTCAGTGCAGCGATTCGTGCCTATTTTATGCGTAAAGTCTCTGCCTGTGTTTCTTATGCCGTACCAAATATTTGCGCCCCAGATTCCTCTACTTCTCTCCTTCTAACCGTTTACATCGGCAGCAGAAGGAATTGGTGCAGTGCAGCAAGGCGTTGCATTTCCCGTTGTCCCCACCCGTGTCATGTCATGTGACAGTTGCATATCCCGCGCATCCCCCCTTTTCCTCGTGTTCCCTCATCCGACCCTACCCCGCACCCCTCTCCCGCTCTCCCCTCTCCATCTCACCCCCCTCCTCAGAGCCGTCTGAATCGGCAGCAGAAGGAGGCAGTACAACAATTCGTGGCGATCACAGGCACGAGGTGAGAATGGCATAGGCATGTGCACAGCACAGACGCGTGGTGAGCACAGCACAGGCACGTGGTGAGCACAGCACAGGCACGTGGTGAGCACAGCACAGGCACGTGGTGAGCATGAAGGTCTGAGCGATGAACGCTGCCACATTCCCCTTCCAGCGACCTCGGGGCACTAGCGGCCCTGAGCCCGAGCGAGTGGAACATGGAGCTCGCGTTCGACCTCTACTCCTCCTCCACCACCTCCACCTGGTTTTGAGGCGCCTCAAAACGAGTGGAACATGGAGCTCGCGTTCGACCTCTACTCCTCCTCCGCCTCGGGTCTTCTCATCCCCTTCTCCCTCCCTCCTTCCCTTCCCCTTCACCATCCCCTTCTCAGCAACCTCGGGGCACTAGCGGCCCTGAGCCCGAGCGAGTGGAAGATGGAGCTCGCGTTCGATCTCTACTCCTCCTCCTCCACATCCACCTCGTTTTGAGGCGCCTCAAAACGAGCGGAACATGGAGCTCGCGTTCGACCTCTACTCCTCCTCCTCCACATCCACCTCGGGCCCTCTCTTCTTCTCTTCCTTCGCGCCCTGCCTCCCTCCCCTCGCTCCCTTTTCTCCCAGTGACCGGGGGGCACTAGCAGCTCTGAGGGCGAGCGAGTGGAACATGGAGCTGGCGTTCGACCTCTTTTACTCCTCCTCCACCTCGGGTCTTCTCATCCCCTTCTCCCTCATCTCCCTCCCTCCTTCCCTTCCCCTTCACCATCCCCTTCTCAGCAACCGAGGGGCATTAGCGGCTCTGCGAGCGAGCGAGTGGAACATGGAGCTCGCATTCGATCTCTTCTACTCCTCCTCCACCTTCCATTCCCTCCCTCCCTCCCTCCCCCCCGCCCTCCCTCCCCTCCCCCCTCGCCCCCTCAGCGATCGGGGAGCATTAGCGGCCCTGCGAGCCAGCGAGTGGAACATGGAGCTCGCCTTCGATCTCTTCTACTCCTCCTCCACCTCAACTTGTGCTCATTGTCCCTCCACTCCGCACATTCACTCCACACCCCCACACTCCCATACTCCCCCCCCCACAGCGACAGGGGGGCACTAGCGGCCCTGCGGGCGAGCGAGTGGAACATGGAGCTCGCCTTCGATCTCTTCTACTCCTCATCACTGCACTTGTTCTCACTGACCCTCCTTCCATTCGCGTTGCAGCGATCGGGGTGCACTAGCGGCCCTGCGAGCGAGCGAGTGGAACATGGAGCTGGCGTTCGACCTCTTCTACTCCTCTCAAGCTCGGCCCATTATTCCCTCCCCTTCTTCTCCCAGCGACCGGGGGGCACTGGCGGCCCTGCGGGCGAGCGAGTGGAACATGGAGCTCGCCTTCGACCTCTTCTACTCCTCCTCCACCTCGGGTCAGCAGCTGAGGGCGTTGGGGCGCTCTGCTGCTCCTAAAGTGGACCCTCGGCAGCTGGAGCATCTGTTTCTCAGATACAAAGGTGGGGTAGTGCAGAGTTGTGCGAGGGTAGGTGCAGTGCAGTGGAAGGGTGTTTTGAGACGTCTCAAAATAATGCAGAGTTGTGCGAGGGTAGGTGCAGTGCAGTGGAAGGGTGTTTTGAGACGTCTCAGAATAATGCAGAGTTGTGCGAGGGTAGGTGCAGTGCAGTGGAAGGGTGTTTTGAGACGTCTCAGAATAATGCGGAGTTGTGCGAGGGTAGGTGCAATGCAGTGCAGTGCAGTGCAGTGCAGTGGAAGGGGTTGGGAAGGTATGTATTTGCCCCTCGTTCCTGCCTCCCTTCCCTCTCCTGTTCCCCGCCAGTTTCCTGTGTCCCCCTGCATCAGTCGTTCATGCCGGCATGAGTTTCGTGGTCGGATGTCATCCCCTGTATAAGTTGATTCAATACTCTTCCTGCTCCCTACTGCTGCTGTGCTGTTTCCCTGCCTCAGACCCTCACTGCGATCTAATTCTCGTGGATGGCGTTTCAAAGCTCTGTGAAGACCTCGAGGTGTGTGTATAAGCTTTGAGAGGATTTCTTTTCTCCTCTCTTCTTTCCAGACCTTTGTCTTTTGTTCACTCCTTCCAATCCCTACTGTGGCCACAAGGTCTCAGATTTCACGTATTCTCCCTCCTGCTCTTAGGGTCTCCCTTTTCCTCTCCCCCCCCTCTCCCCCACCATTCACCTCCCTCTTTTCTTTCCATTGTTCTTTTTCACTTTTAGAATTGGAACGATTTCGAGGCCCCTCAATCCACCCCTTCCCCCTCCCCACACACCCTTTCTTTCCCTCTCTCTTTCCATGGTTTCTTTCCCTTGTGGGCGGCAGGTGGATCCTCAAGACATTGTCATGGTAAGCCCAGGCTATGCTGCACAGCGGCAGGCGCTCATATAGGCATCCGTTCTCGCTTATGCGACTATGCATGCACATGCATCTTATGCACGCAAGTCATATTTTCGTGTGTTGCATACACTGCATGCATCATCCATGCATGCATCGTACGCCGCACAGACTGGCCCCTGCGGCCACCACCCCATTCCACCGCATTTCATCCCATGCCAACCCATGCCAACCCATGCCAACCCATGCCAACCCATGCCATATCATGCCATGTCATGCCGACCCATGCCTCCCTGTGCAGCGAATACTATCATGGCACTTCAAGGCAGCGTCTATGTGTGAATACTCCAAGAATGAATTTCCATTCACGCTGTAGACTGCTGTTTTTGCCTTCTCCACATGTATTATCCCGACACCCCTCCCTGTGCAGCTAATACTATCAGGGCACTTCAAGGCAGTGACCATGTGTGAATACTATAATCCAAGGAGGATTTTCCATTCACGCTGCAGACTGATGTTTCTCCTTGTGCCATCTCCTCCCTCTCCTTTCTTCCCGCGCCCCTCCCTCTGCAGCTAATACTATCATGGCACTTCAAGGCAGCGACCATGTGTGAATACTCCAAGGAGGAATTTATGCAAGGCATGCAACGACTGGGGTGAGTAAGGCATGCAACGACTGGGGTAAGGCATGCAACGACTGGGGTGAGTAAGGCATGCAACGACTGGGGTAAGGCATGCAACGACTGGGGTAAGTAATTCACGACGAAGAATGTGGGGATCAGATCAGAGAGTGTGTATGAGAAGCCCTTTGAGTCGACTCAAAAGGCATGCAACGACTGGGGTAAGTAATTTATGACAAAGAATGCGGGGAACAGAGAGTGGGGATGAGAACGAGATGAGAAGAGAGGGAACAAGGACTCGAAATTGGTGCTGGAAAGTGGATTAACAGATAGAGCCATTAGCAGTGTCAGTGCCCTATTAGTACCCTATCAGTGCTTTATCAATGCCCTATCTCCGTTCTCCCATTTTTCCCTCTCCTCCTCGCAGTGTCAGTAGTGCGGGCGAGCTCAAGGCAAGGTTGCCGGCACTGCGATCAGAAATTAACGACGACCGTGAGTGTCCGAGGGGGGGCGACTTGGAAAAGTGCCGGCAATAGAAGCGGGAGGAGAGGAAAGAACGCACTAAGTGCTTTCCTCCTGAGGAGGGTGCGAGTGTCCTTGCTGTGCCTAACAAGTCGTGGGGGGAAGAGGGAGGGGAGGGGGGAAGAGGGGGAAGGGGGGGTGTGTGGAGGGGGACGCTCAAGGCAAGGTTGCCGGCACTGCAATGACTGTGAGTGTTCGAGGGGGGGTGACTTGAAAGAGTGCTAGGAGAGGGTAGCACCCCCCCCCCCCCCCCCCTCGAGGGGGGGTGACTTGAAAGAGTGCTAGGAGAGGGGTAGCACCCCCCCCCCCCCCCCCCCCTCGAGGGGGGGTGGCTTGAAAGAGTGCTAGGAGAGGGTAGCACCCCCCGCCCCCCCCCCCCCCTCGAGGGGGGGTGGCTTGAAAGAGTGGTAGGAGAGGGTAGCACTTGGAGCAGGAGGAGAGGAAAGGCCAACCGGAGTGCTGGGCGCGTGTGCATGTTGCTTCTTCCTCCCTCCTCGGTACTTCTGCGCTTGCCACATTCGCTCTTACTATCTGTGGGAATTGTGCATGGCGTGTGGGCGTGTGGGCATGTGGGCATGTGGGGGCATGTGGTGGCATGTGGTGGCATGTGGTGGCATGTGGGCATGCTATGTGCGCTGCATGTGGGCATGTGATGTGCACGGCATGGCATGTGGACGTGTGCATGTTTTTGATGCAGATAAATTCAGGGAGATTTACAACTTCTCCTTCGACTGGGCAAAGGAGAAGGTCGGTTCCAGCTTCTTTTCTATCAGTCAAAGAAACAGGTTATTCATGTGATGTGACCAACACAGATGCCTCTCTTGTGACCAACACAGGTGGGATCACTGTTTGCTGCTGCTGCTGCTCACACCCTTCATTCCCATCTCCTGCTTCTCTGCCTGCAGGGTCACAAGTCTCTAGCATTCGACACGGCAACAGGCATGTGGCAGCTGCTGTCCGCTGCGTTTGTCAGAAGTCCTTCCCTCTGCACTCCCAATCCTCACTGCATATGATTGTGCTGCAGGGTCACAAGTCTCTGGCATTCGACACGGCCATTGGCATGTGGCAGCTGCTGTCCGCTGCTTCTACTCACGCCCCTCCTCATCCCCATCTCCCTCCTCTCTATGCCCATCTGCTGTTTCACGTTATGCCCTGCAGGGTCAGAAGTCTCTGGCATTCGGCACGGCCATAGGCATGTGGCAGCTGCTGTTCACCGCGCGGCCTTGGCGATTCGTCGAGCATTGGTGTGAATACCTCCAGGTAGGCCTGTTGCTGTGAGTACCAGTTAGGAGGAGTACTTTCAGGTGAGGCTTATGCTGCGAATACCCAGTGTGAATACCTCCAGGTAGGCCTCTTGCTGTGAGGACCTGTGGTGGGGTGGGGTTACTTGCAGGTAAGACTGGTTATGGGTGTATCTTCTAGCTGGGCAAGTCAGTCACAGGTTGCACCCTCCACTCCCTTCCACCCTGCCCTACCCTCCCCGCCCCGCACCACCCCTCTCTGTCAATTCGCAGATGAAACACAACAAGGCCATTTCTCGAGACACGTGGCAACAGCTATTAGAGTTTACCAAGGTAAGCTGCGATTTTCCTTCATTAGAAATAGCAAGCTGATCGGTCGAAGCCAACCCTCCTCTCCACCGCCATCTCATTGCATTCTGTGTCTCAACCCCTCGCACTCATCACACCCATTTCCCCGCAGATCACCGACCCATCGCTCTCATCGTACGATGAGGAGGGAGCGTGGCCATACCTCGTGGACGAGTTTGTGTCGCACCTAAGGGAGGAAGGGGTGGTGCCTAGCAAGCCTGATGCTGCTTAGCCGTTCATACTAGCTTCACACATACCGTCACACACGCCTTCATGCATTCCTCTCGCTGCTCTTCGTACCGCTGCTGCTCCCGCCATACCTTGTGGACGAGTTTGTGTCGCACCTCAGGGAGGCAGGAGTGGTGCCCAGCAAGCCCGATGCTGCTTAGCACGTCACCACTCCTCTGTTTTCCACTCAGCACTGCTCCTATAATCACTTCCCCTCTTATCCCTGCCCCTCTCATCACCGCTGCTCTCATCTCCGCTCCCGCCATACCTCGTGGACGAGTTTGTGTCACACCTGAGGGAAACAGGAGTCGTGCCCAAGCCTGATGCAGTGATGCTGCTTGGTAATTCACACTAGTGTCTCACATGCCGTTGCACACGCGTTCACACATTTTTTTCACTAGTGTAGCCGAGGCGAGGCTAGTCATTTGAAAATACACCCTTTGCAGGGAAAAGTGTCCAACGCAGTGTTTTTTTTTTTTTTTAAGGCAGCGTTCTAGATTCTATTGCTCGTATTTTCATCTCAAGATGAAAACATGATGTACCTGTGTGACCAAAATTCCTGTCGCTGCGTGCAGCATGATTGTACTGCTTGTACACTGCATCAATTTGTCTCGATCCATAGCTCCTTTGAATAGACTCATAAAGCCGTTCACAGTGCATTGGGCAGTGGGCTCTGCTATGAGTTGTAAAACAGAATGGTTGGGTGTGGGTGGGTGCTTGTGGGTGGGTTGTGATTGTGGGAGGAAGGGCAGAAAAACGCCCCTCCACTGACTGGGGTACAGTGCACCTGATGAGTTTTGAATTGCAAGTGCATTTGTGACTTGCCGAGAAAAACAAATCTGAGGGATGGCTTGCAGATCTCCACGCATCCTTGAGCGCACAGTGCATGTGGGTGTGTTATCAGCAGGTGCTTGTGTGGAGTGCATGCATATGTTGTTGGGCTGAGAAAAAGCCCTTAGGATCTTTGCAGGACTAAACTCTGAGTAGGAATAATGTACTAGCGGAAGCGTTTAATGACAAGTCTGTGAACCACCTTGCGCTGATATGTGAGGGCAAAGTAGATTGATTAAAGCAAAAGAGATACAGGCTTTTATAAGAGTACAAGGGAATATGGAAGGTTATAGCTAATAACTGTTTTGCTGTTGCTGTTGCGGTTCGATACAGTGACGACTCGGGCAACTGCTCAATAACGAGTCAGTTGTTTGTCCTTGCTGTCGCGCTGTACTTGTCAGGTCAAAGGTCGCTGACCTTTGAATTTCGCATAACCTCCAGCAGTTGTTCAACCTCCGAGGGTTGACTCGCTAATGCTTCGCTGTGTTTCGCTTCATTTACGACTTAGTGCTTCGACACAACAGAGGCGCTTAGATTACTTGTTTCCAACACATGTCTCGTGCTGCCAGCCTGGAGTCATCTGTGGGCTGTGAGAAAGTGACCCTTCTAGTTCCAACAAGCACGAAAAAAAATAATTTTATGGGTATTTTGTTGACGAAGGCACTGGCTCCAGCGTTTGCAGTGGGCGTCGTGCTTCCAACGAGAAGGTGCAATCACATTGAATCAGTAGCAAAAATTGTACCAGTTTCTTTGGATCGTGTATTACTAGTACAGTATGTTTTCTTGATTTATTTGTACCATGGCTTCTTTAAGTAACAATGTGTAATATCTACTGTGTTCTTTGTGCTTGCTTTACATGACAGGAGTCTTTTCTTTGCTTTCTCTTATTTTCCTGGTGTGGTTTCTGTACAAAACCTGAAATATTTGTAGCTTTTCAATTGAGATGCTGAAGTGTAATGACTCTATGTTATGTCACGTGCTCATTCATATTACTTTGTAAAGAAAATAGGAGGGTCTGGTATCGAGGACTGAAATATGCACCAATATTCTCAGAGATTATGCACAAACCGTTTCGGACCGTTGGATTTGTGTGATCCCTGAACCTTGAGTTGAGATTGCGTCAGTTCCAAGACCCAACAAGAATCTTGCAGTTCGCAGCTCTCTTCGGCACCAAGATCCCGACAAAAACGTTGCGGAAGCACTCCGTTTTGTGCTGGTCCCTGTGAGTGTCAGTCTTTTTGGGGGTTGAGTCTCCGCCATTTGCCGGGTCTTCCTGCCCAACCGTTGGGCTTGACGGAGATGGCGACACTCACGACTGTCGCAAGTGTCAAAACTATTCAGAAGTAACCAGATCCAAGTTCGCACTGAATCGCAAGCTCCTGAGTCCCCTTGGGTGGGTGAGAGCAAATGAAAGGGGCTGAGTCCCCTTGGGTGGGTGGGTGCAAGGGAAAGGGGCTGAGTCCCCTTGGGTGGGTGGGTGCAAGGGAAAGGGGCTGAGTCCCCTTGGGTGGGTGGGTGCAAGGGAAAGGGGCCGAGTCCCCTTGGGTGGGTGGGTGCAAATGAAGGGGGCTGAGTCCCCTTGGGTGGGTGGGTGCAAGGGAAAGGGGCTGAGTCCCCTTGGGTGGGTGGGTGCAAGGGAAAGGGGCTGAGTCCCCTTGGGTGGGTGAGTGAAAGTTAAAGGGGCTGAGTCCCCTTGGGTGGGTGGGTGCAAGTGAAAGGGGCTGAGTCCCTTTGGGCGGCACATGATTAGCCGTACGGCACTGATGCCACCTGTTGCATGAGAGGTGATGGTGGTTAGTGTGAGTGGTGTGATTGAGTGTGTAATTAGGGTTATGGGTGAAAGCGGTGATAGCCACAGGTGGGACTGGGGGAGTTGAGTGGTGAGAGTGCTGCAGCCAATTTTTTTGAGTGAGTGAGTGAATGAGTGAGTGTTGGTAAGGCTGGTTAGTGAGAGCTAGTGGTTAGGGTGAGTAATGAGAGTGAGAGAGGTGAGAATGAGTATGGGATTGAGTTGTGAGAATGGTAAGCTTGGGTGGGTGCAGAGAGTGAGCAGCAAGAGTGCGTGAGTGGTGAGTGAAGTAGAGCGAGAGGTGAGAGCCATGAGAGTGAGTGGTGGGAGAGAGTTGTGAGAGTGGGAGAGAGTTGTGAGAGTGGGAGGTTAGAATGGCTGTGAGTGTATGCTGGTGACAGTGAGAGTAGAGAAGGTGGTTGGAGTGGTGAGAATCGTTTGTGTGTGGTGAGACCGTGTGGCGATTGTGAGGGGTTGGAGTGAGTGGTGAAGGTGAGTGGTGGGAATGGAGAGTGATGGAGGGGTGGGAGTGGCCAGATGGTGAAATGGAGTGAGTGGTGCAAGTGAGTGTATAGATTGAGGAATGAGAGTGGACAGGGAGTGAGTGGTGAGAGTGCAATAAGGGAGTGGTGAGTGTCACTGAGTGGAGAGTGGCGAGGGGTACAACAGTGCGCAGTGTGTGGGTGGCAGTGAGAACGGAGAGGGTGGTGTGGATGAGTGGTTAGAGCGGTGAGGTTAGAGTGGTGAGGTTAGAGCGGTGAGGTTAGAGTGGTGAGGTTAGAGTGGTGAGGTTAGAGCGGTGAGGTTAGAGTGGTGAGGTTAGAGTGGTGAGGTTAGAGTGGTGAGGTTAGAGTGGCGACAATCATGAGAGTGTGTTGATACAGAGCGGTGAGAGTGAGTGGTGAGTGTGAGCGGTGATGGTGGATGTGTGGGAGTGCCGAGGTGATGAGATGCAGTGAGAGGTGGGGTGGGTGGGGCCTGAAAGCCCTTGGGTGGTGAGTGGGGCGTGAGTGGGCCTGAGTGGGCCTAAGTGGGGCTTTCTGCTGCTCCTACTGCTGGCAGGTGATGGTGGGGATGGGCTGGGTGGGTGGGTGAGAGAGAAGGGTCCTGAAACCCGTTGGGTTGGGTGGGTGAGAGAGAAGGGGACTGAATCCCCTTGGGTTGGGTGGGTGAGAGAGAAGGGGACTGAATCCCCTTGGGTTGGGTGGGTGAGAGAGAAGGGGACTGAATCCCCTTGGATTGGGTGGGTGAGAAGGAATGGGGGTTGGGTGGTGGAGAGGGAAGGGGACTGAATCCCCTTGAGTGGGATAGGTGAGAATGAAGGGGTGAATCCCCTTGGGTGGGATGGGTGAGAAGGAAGGGGTGAATTCCCTTGGGTGGGATGGGTGAGAAGGAAGGGGTGAATCCCCTTGGGTGGGATGGGTGAGAAGGAAGGGGTGAATCCCCTTGGGTGGGATGGGTGAGAAGGAAGGGGTGAATCCCCTTGGGTCGGATGGGTGAGAAGGAAGGGGTGAATCCCCTTGAGTGGGATGGGTGAGAGGGAAGGGGTGAATCCCCTTGGGTGGGATGGGTGAGAAGGAATGGGTGAATCCCCTTGGGTGGGATGGGTGAGAAGGAAGGGGTGAATCCCCTTGGGTGGGATGGGTGAGAAGGAAGGGGTGAATCCCCTTGGGTGGGATGGGTGAGAAGGAAGGGGTGAATCCCCTTGGGTCGGATGGGTGAGAAGGAAGGGGTGAATCCCCTTGAGTGGGATGGGTGAGAAGGAAGGGGTGAATCCCCTTGGGTCGGATGGGTGAGAAGGAAGTGGTGAATCCCCTTGGGTGGTCTGAATGCCCTTAAGTGAAGTGAGAGAGCTGGTTTGGGTAAGATGGGTTGATTACTCTAAGGTGGGTTGAGTAAATTTGTGAGATGGGGCCTGATTTCCCTGTGGTGGGTGAGTGGAAGAGAGGAGGGATGGGGGCTGAATGAAGGGTCGGCGGGCTGTGGCTGGGTAAACGGGTAGGCGGGTGGTGGCTTGAGGCTGGGTGCTGGCCGGGTGGTGCTGTGCTGGGTGTGAGGGGTGGGCTTGTTTGGGCGGTGTGGGGAGGGGTGGTGAGTGGGTGGTTAGGTAGGTGGGTGGGTGGTTGTTGGTTAGTGCATGTGGGTGGATGTGGGTAGGTAGGTAGGTTATTAAGCATGGGTGGGTGGGGTGGGTGGTGGTGCTGGTGGTCTCTTGGCTGAGTTGCTTTGTGTGTTGGGGTGGTGTTTGTGGATGGGTGGTGTGTTTGTGGATGGGTGGTGTGTTGTGGATGGGCGGAGTGTTCTGAATGTGTTGTGTGTTCTGGATGGGTGGTGTGTTCTGCATGTGTTGTGTGTTCTGGATGGGTGGTGTGTTCTGCATGTATTGTGTGTTCTGGATGTGTTGTGTGTTCTGAAAGTGTTGTGTGTTCTGTTTGGTCTGTTCTGGATGGTTGGTGTGTTGTTCAGGAGTGGGGAGTGTGGTGGGAGTGGTGAGAGTGGTGGTGGAGGTGGTGGTGAGAGCCTTTACACCCTACAGCTGCCCTTGTGCATGCAATGGCAATGGCAATGCCATGATGTGGCGTGGCGTCTGTAGAGAAAGGATGGCGGGTCAAGGAGTGTGGCGGATTTGGCACTTCATGTAGTCTGTAATCTTGCTTCAGTCAAACAGTTATATTCTCCTGTTTAATCTGGTACGGTATAACAAGTTATAGGTACGGTATTTGGGAGTGTTATCCAATCAATTTTTGTATGCTTTGCAGAATCATGATACATTACTGTTCATGCAGGTTTTCTGTTTTACTACTCCCAGGTTTTCTGTTCCACTATTCACTGAGCTTCAATTTGTGCTGCATTATTGAAGTATTCAACAAACACAAATTTCAAGGATGTAATGCGAAGTTTCTAATGGTAATTGTTGCAGATGTCATGAAGTAGTGTGATTCACACAAATACCGAGATAAGCGCGAAAGGTTCATCGCAATGGTTTGGTTTCTGTAGCAACATTCAGCCCATGCTAATACAACTGACATTGTTGAATGAGCTGTCCACACGCGACATACGTGTACATCGCTGAATAACGCAAGTACTTCAATCTGGTCGAGTGTTCCTTCCCGTGTTCCTGTGTTCCCCTGCTCCCTTGTTCATCTGGACTGGAACTTTCTTGTAGCGAAATGCTTGGGGTAGTGGTCTCGGCTCGTACCTTGCTTTTCCCAACACCATATTGAACAGCCGCAACATGTCTGCCTGCATTCACTCATATAAAGACCGAAAGCCTAAGTATGTAAGCCTTCGCACAAACACCACCTCTCAAGCTGAAACGCAGCTGCTGCTCCTGCTGATGCTGTAACATGCTTTCTATCTCAAATATAGGCACTCACTCATTCAGCAGCAGCACCATCGCCCACGCGTCTATGACTCTGCTGGCTCGCCTTGAGGCCGGCAAAAAAATCCATTATTCCCACAGATGCCTGCCCGCTGCTCATGCCGCTGCTGGTGTTCACATTGCTGGGTACTCGCTCTGGCTCTGCACCTACAGCCTCCCACCGTCTGCTGGAAAACACATTGGCGTGCTGACTTAAAAACGGCTGCTGGCTTGGCTGCTGCTTAGGCTGCGGGCTTGGCACCTGGCTTGGCTGCTGTTGGCTTGGCGTCTGGCTAGGCTGCTGGCTAGTGGGCTGTTGTTCGTCCTGGTTGGCGTGAGTGGCATTGAGTGGGGCTTGTGTCTTGGGAGGGGCCGGGAAGAAGAAGTGCTGCCAAAACGGTGGTGACGACTGCTCAGGTGATGCTGACGCTGGCTCTGCTGTTTCTGCTGCTGCTTCCGCTGATGATTGTGGTGCTAATGCTGCCTTGGCTGGTTCTGCTGCTGCTTCTGCTTCTGCTTCCACTTGCACTGCTGCTGCTGCCACTGCTTTAGGTGCTTCAGAGGGCTGCACTGCTGTTGGTGTTCGCACCTCGTCTCTTCCTAAGGGCGTGTGGGGCTTGGCGTGCTGTGGTGCAAGGCACAGGGGAACAATGGGAGGAATATTAGAGGGGGCATGGGAGAGGAGGTGAGAGGGAGCTGGGGTCTCAATGGAAAGGAGGAGGAAGAGAGGCAGGGAGAAAAGGGAGAGGGGAATGGGGAGAGAAGTAGCTGAGAGAGAAACGTGGGGAGCGGGGGGAAAGGGGAAAACGGGGATAACGGTGGAAAGCGGTGAGAGCGGGGAAAGGGATGCAAGCAAGAAAAGTAAGGCGAGAACGTGAACAGCAGGCAAGAGAACCCACCTGTGCTGCTAGCATCAACAGATCATCATCTGTGAAATCCACGTCAGCAGCAGCATCCGCTGCCACGTCAGCAACGTCATGGCCACGCTCATAACGCTCCCCATAAACATCCTCACCTCCCCTTTCCTCCTCTTCCTTCCCCTCCTCCTCACAGCCCGCGCTCACATGTCCCCTCCTGCTCCTCCCCTTCCCCACATTGCGCCCCCCCTTGGCCCACATTTCCACCCCTGTATTCTCCTCCCTTTCTTCGTTCCCCCTCCTGCGGCCTCTTCCTTTTCCTCTCCCTCCCTCCTCCCCTCCTATCAACACCTCCTCCCCATCCCTCACCTCCCTTTCACGCCCCATGCTTCTTTCCCTCTCTTCTTCTGCCTCTCCATTCTCCCCATCCCTTTCCACCACCTCTCCACCCTCCCCCTCTTCCTCCTTCTCTTTCACCCTCTCCCCCTCCACCTCCTCCTCCTCCTCCTCCTCCTCCTCCTCCTCCTCCTCCTCCTCCTCCTCCTCCTCCTCCTCCTCCTCCTCCTCCTCCTCCTCCTCTTCCTCCTCACTAAATTCATCCCCCAACTTAAACCCCATCACTCTCCTCCTCTCCCTCCTCACTCGCTTTACACTCCCTCCTCTCCTTCCCTCACCTTCTCTCTTCGTCCCAGCTTTCTTCCCTCCATCCAAACTCCCTTTCTCCTTCTTTCCCCGAACCTTCTTCTCACCCTTCCCCGTCCCCTCGTCCCCCTTCGCCCCCTTCTCGTCCCCCTTCCCCCCATCCTTTACCACCAGCATCCAAGCAGGTAATACCCTCCCTCTCTTCTTTGTCGCACCTGCTTCCCTCCCTCCACACCGCACTAAACCCATTCCACTCCACAAGCCCTCCTTGCCTCTACTCCTATCATACCCTTCCCCTGTCTTACCTTCTCCCTTCCCTATCCCCCCATTGCCCTCTCCTCCTCCTCCTCCTCCTCCTCCTCCTCCTCCTCCTCCTCCTTTCCCAGCCTCCACTCTTCCCGATTCCAAGCCTACAGTCTTGGGCAACCCGTTAACAGGTTCGGATAAACGCTGCCCAGTAGCAACCGAGCCTGCCTGAGGCTCGGACAGCATAGCCCTGGTTGCATCCGAGCCAGCAGTAACCACAGGCCTGGGAGTGCTAACAGGAGTACTTGCTGACGTGTCACGTCCAGGGGCTGACGTGTCAGCAGGAGCTGACGTGTCAGCAGCGTGAAGTGACGTGGCTCCTGTGCTGGCTGGCACCCTTGCACTAGAAACGGGTGGCATGGAGGACAGCTGAGATAAGGGCACGGGGAAAAGTGGAAAGAGGAGAATGGGGGAAAGGGGAAAGAGGGGAACGAGGAAAAAAAGGGGAAACAGAAAGAAAGGGGGAAAGAGGCAAATAGGGACAAGAGAAGAACGGTACCGTAAGTAATGAAACCCTTTTTTGTTTTACACGTCTCAACAATCAGCTGGGGGTGACAAAAGACGGGAAACAGATTTTGAAGGAAAAAACAAGCATTTCCTTCAAAAGCATGCCATGGCATGGTGTGGCATGGCGGCGCTGCGGCGTGGCAGGAAGTCACCAGATGCCTCGGATAGAGCGCAGTTCAAATTGTCATGAAGCTCTGAGTTGGTTGATTGCCCACCTGAGTTGCCCTCTCCAGGAGAAGCGCTGCCACGTGCTTGCACACTCCGTTGGCGGACCTGCCGTGGCGTAGATGGTGGGGGAACAAATAGCTTTCGAGTGATTCAAAACTTGAGAAGCGCTGCCACGTGCTTGCACACTCTGTTGGCCGACCAGCCGTGGCGCAGGTGGTGGGGGTAGGGGGGAGGCGGGGGTAGAGTGGGCGGAGGGGGAAGCATCTAGCAGTGTACGTTGGTTGACTCCCTTCTCTTCCCCCGCCCACCTGAGACGCGCGCTCCAGACAGGGCGCTGCCATGTGCTTGCAGACCCCGTTGGCCGACCTGCCGTGGCGCAGGTGGTGGGTGGGGGTAGGGATGAGGGGTAAAGGCAGAGGGGAGAGGAGGGGAGGAGTGGAGGAGTGGGAGGGGAGGAGGAGAGGGAAGGTAAAAGGAGAGGGAAGGGAGGAGGAGAGGGAAGGGGTGAAAGAGCAGGAAGGAGTTCCAGGGTGAGAGGGGAAGATGCTCACCAGATTGTCTCATTGTTATTCTTGAACATTCATAGGCCATGCGTCTATGAGATGGAGAGCAGAACGAGAGAAAGGGAGACGAGAGCAGGAAGCGTGTGGCTGTCTCACCGGGCGTGTGCTGGGCACGTGCATTTCCCTTCCACGCGCACATGTGGCACCCCTACCCCTCCTCCCACTCTTCCTGTTGTTCGTCCACGTCCTCTCCCCCCTGCCCTTGCACTGCCACTCGCCGCTGCTGTTCCTGTGCCTGCTGCTGCCCCTGCTGCTGCGCCTGTGAGTATATCGAATCCAACGGTGTAGGCTTCGCCCGGATTTGAGCCTGTTACAACGAGGCGGCAGTGGGTAACAGGGCGTTACAGCGTACGCCGCGTATTAGATTGACACATGCTATCAATTTTTGAGTCGACTCAAAAATCGACTCATCACACTCGGTAACGGGGCGTGATAGCATGTGCCGCGTATTGAATTGACACATGCTATCACGCAAAGAGAGCGCGCATTTTCTGCAACGTTCGTGGCGCGTGGTTATTTCTAATTTTGGAGGAAGTCCCAATGAGGAATGTGTTCTGCCACGCGCCACGTGACTCAAGAGTCGACTCAAAAGTCACCTGGAAGTCCCAATGAGGAATGTGTTCTGCCACGCGCCACCCTGCGTGACCTCGCCGTTGAAGCTTTTCTGTAACGTTCGTTACTTACCTAAGCATTTCGCTTCGCCCGTGGTCCATCCTTCGTCGCGAAACGACACGTCGGACAGTTTCCCGCCCTGCCACACGTCAGCGGCGCGCCTCCCCACAGCGGGAGCCACGCTGGCAAGAACCTCGTCGCGGCTCGCCAGGAGAGCGGGAATCGCGGGCGGGGCGGAAATGCTGTCCATCGACACGGCGTCTTAGCCGCGTTAACGAAGCTGGGGGTTTGAAGAAGGGACGAGGGTTCGACAAAGGACCGTCACTTGCGAACGGGCGATTGAATCTCTCTAAGGGCATGTCGGACAGCATCATACGAAACTCGTCGCGCCTCTGTAAAAATCCTCAACATATACCGTATTTCGTACACTTGCTAGCCACCCAGTCAAAAAGCTGCAAATGCTGTTTTGTACTCGTTTGGAAACATTCTCTTACAGACGAGAAAGTCCCACGGCATTGCCCACTAAATTCGTCGTGTATGTTTTCTGCTTCTTTCAATCAGTAAAAAACACCGCGCAAAACCCAATTCAACCTAGAAATGTTTTACCAAACCAAGCCAAGCTAAATCCTCAAAACACCTCCAAATCGCAAAACGTCTATCGTGTTCCTCGCCTCGAGTAAATCCCCTGAAGCAGTGCGGGATAGCACAGCGCAGTTTCCTAGGTCTGTCTGGACGTTTCTGCATTAGCGTAGCGTAGCCGTCCGATCGTGTCGTGCATGAACGCTCTCCGGCGTTGTCGCCGCTTCTCCGCGCCCTTAGTCCCACATGCGGACCGCCATTTCCCGCTGACCCCATGGCCTCCTCGCTTCCCTCCCGTTCCTCGATTCCTATCACCATCTAGTACCGCGCTCGTTTCGCCGTCGCTGCTTTTAGAGTCTACTCAACAACCATCGCCGTCGGTGCTCGAAATCTCAGAAATGATGGCTTCGCGTTCGTCTCTTGCCATGGCTGCTTCATCCTTATCCAATCGCTCCTGTTTCTCCGGGATTTCCTCCTCCTCCATGATTGTCCCATCTCCTCTCCCTCGTGCCACGTCACCACTGAGCAGCACGAGGTGCACTGATCAGCTTCCCGGTTTTCCGGAAGCGACCGCCGACTGTCGCATTAGCAAAGGCTCTCTTATAGGCACCCAATTTGGACAACGTCCCTCCCTGTCTTTCATTCTTCCGGTCCGCTCGTTACAGTCACGTTACGAACACTCACAGGCTCGGCGTCTCCCACCTGCGGGTGCTTACAGCGATGGCAACCAACCAGGGTACCCCTATTCCTTCACTCGCGTTCCTAACGAAGCGTCCTTTAGCGCGGACGGCTCGTGGCCGGATAATTTCAGAGTTTGGGAGAACGGCGGCGGATTGGTCCACGTGGAGGCGGTGGTTGACAGCTCAGCAGTGATCGAACCGTCCGCTGTGGTCCATGCGGAGGCTCGGATTGACGCGAAAACAAGGATCGGATCAGGGTCGGTGGTGGGGCCGTACGTGAAAATAGGCGCGGAGACTACCGTGTGGTGAGTTGTTCTAATAATTCTGTAGCCATTGCTTTTCTAGTTCAATTGCCTCTCGCAATTTCTCCCACCCCTTCCTGTCTTTTCCACCCTCCCCTTTTATCCTTCATCCGCCATGCAAGTTACAATGTTTCACTGCGGAATTGCTCCAGTAGCACTGTGTAGTTACTTGACTGATGACGACTCTCCACCTCCACTCCTTGCCCTCTTCCCTTACTCCATTCTCCCGGGCCCCTCTCCCTCCTCCCGTACCCTCCCCTCCTCCGTCTCTCGCTTTTCGTCTCCCCCTGTGACCCACCTCCAACCCACCCAAGGTACAACTGTTTTGGAGTCACCTTCTGAAAAATCTCTCCCCCCGCCACCTCCCCCCCCCCCCCCCCCCCCCCCCCACCTTCTCTCTCCTCCACCCCCTCCCTCTCTCGCCTTTCGTCTCCTCCTGTGACCCTCCTCCACCCCATGCAAGGTACAACGTGTCGCTCACGAATTGCACGATTGGGGATCGCTGCGTCTTCCACAATGGCGTGCAGATTGGCCAGGATGGTGAGTTTTACAGGCAGGTAGGGCGGGATGATTAGAATCGCGGGCAGGTATAGCGGCATGGTGATATTTGTGGGCAGGGAGGGCTGGATGGAAATATTTGCAGGGGCAGTATGCGTTGTTCACATAGAACAGAATCAGGAGGAACAGATAGGTCAAATGGGAGAGCGACAGACAGGACAGGTTGGTGAGATTGACAGCCGTGTGTGCCATATCCCTGCTCCTCCTTTTGAGGCGCCTCAAAAGTCATATCCCTGCTCCTCCCCCCTTGTGCAATGGCACATGGTAAAGACCTCTTACATGTGTCCCTACATATTTCATGCACTGCAGGGTTTGGTTTCTTCGTGGACGAATCTGGCAGCATGGTCAAGAAGCCACAAGTGAGCCTCACTGCACTCCTCTCCCAGACTTCTCTCACTGCACTCCTCTCCCAGACTTCTCTCACTGCACTCCTCTCCCAGACTTCTCCTCCTTGTCCTCCTGTCTTCGTCCCAACTTTCTCTCCGTGCGCGCTGTCTCTTTTTCGGAGAGAAGAAGGAGAACCACAATGAAACAGCCTCTCTTTTTCCTGTCATTCTGTCCCTTTTCTGTGTCTCTGCTTTTTGGCATGGCTTTGTGTGTCCATGAAATTATGTGTGAATGGCTGTGGGGTGATGGCTGTATGGGCGAGGGCAGACGCTGGGGGTGCAGATAGGCAGTGATGTGGAGATGGGCGCTAACACATGCGTGGACAGGGGCAGGTGAGTGTGGCTTGTAGGGGAGGGTGAGTGTTTTTCAGCACTGCATGGCTGTGTGTTGATGGTTTTATGAGCGAGGACAGACGCTAGGGGTGCAGATAGGCATTGATGTGGGAGATGGGGGCAAACACATGCGTGGACAGGGGCAGGTGAGTTAACTCCCATATGTTTGCTTTCTCTCTACACAGCTTTATCTCTCATTCTCTCAATGGTGTCGCATCTGCTCGTGCATGAGTACACTGCTTCTTATCCGCTCCTCCGTGCTTTTCTCCCTGCCCCTACCTACTTCATATACCTCTTTATTTCCAGCTGGAGAGACACACAGATTGGTGATTACGTGAAGATCGATAACCTTGTGCAGGTCCGTGCAGGTCCGTGCATGTGCATGTGCATGTGCCCCTCTTTGCACGACCCCTCTAGTGCGATTGCGATGGTGTGACCATGTGTGTGACTTCTTTGCATCCGTTTCAGCCCATACCATACCATACCACAACGCACCCACCGGCACCACTCGCATATATCCTGCTCTGGCTATTCTCCATTGGCTGAACCCAAGCAGATTGGGCACAATGTGGTCATCGGTCGCTGCTGCATCATCTGTGGTCAAACTGGCATTGGCGGCTCCTCCACGTGAGTTCCAGCTGCCAGTGTTGCTTCCTCTCCAGCATTTCTTGCCATGCATCATCACAGCAAGGAGGCTTTTTCGGAGACAAAGGGTTGATCTGCGAATTGCACTCCGTTTTTTGCTGTCGATCCTGTTGCTAAAACGTCATCTTCACGTATTGCAGCCCTTCGAACCACGAGTCAATGAGTTGCAGCTGCCCGTGTTGCTTCCTCTACAGAATTTCCTGCCGTGCATCATCACTTTGCCCCATCTGTCTTTGTCCACATTAGCATCCTTGATAATGTCTGCATTCCCATGCATGGCAGTCTGGGCGACTATGTGGTGCTGGCAGGGCAAGTGGGCGTGGCCGATCATGTCACCATAGCAGATAAGGTATGCCCCTCACCACCGCTCAGCACCTCTCACCACCAATCACCACCACCCCGCACCACTCCCTTTTTCAAAATGCCACTGTGGTTTCATGAGTGATAACCAGCCCATTACCACCTAGTCCATGAGTTCTTACCTGTAGTCACCCATTTCTGTCTCCCTTCATGTCTCCCTGCATGTCTCCCTGCATGTCTCCCTGCATGTCTCCCTGCATGTCTCCCTGCATGTCTACCTGCATGTCTCCCTGCATGTCTCCCTGCATGTCTCCCTGCATGTCTCCCTGCATGTCTACCTGCATGTCTCCCTGCATGTCTCCCTGCATGTCTCCCTGCATGTCTCCCTGCATGTCTCCCTGCATGCCTCCCTGCATGTCTCCCTGCATGTCACCCTGCATGTCTCCCTGCATGTCTCCCTGCATGTCTCCCTGCATGTCTCCCTGCATGTCTCCCTGCATGTCTCCCTGCATGTCTCCCTGCATGTCTCCCTGCATGTCTCCCTGCATGTCTCCCTGCATGTCTCCCTGCATGCCTCCCTGCGTGTCTCCCTGCATGTCTCCCTGCATGTCTCCCTGCATGTCTCCCTGCGTGTCTCCCTGCGTGTCTCCCTGCATGTCTCCCTGCATGCCTCCCTGCATGTCTCCCTGCATGTCTCCCTGCATGTCTCCCTGCATGTCTCCCTGCATGTCTCCCTGCATGTCTCCCTGCATGCCTCCCTGCATGCCTCCCTGCATGTCTCCCTGCATGTCTCCCTGCATGTCTCCCTGCATGTCTCCCTGCATGTCTCCCTGCATGTCTCCCTGCATGTCTCCCTGCATGTCTCCCTGCATGTCTCCCTGCATGTATGTGCCACTGCGTGTGCATCCTTGCCCCCCTGGCTGGGCCCCATCAGGTGCGCGTGGCAGCCAAGGCCGGAGTGGCATCGGATATCAAGGAGCCAGGGGAGTATGCTGGCTTCCCCATGGTACTCTCATCTGCCCATCACATGTGCCATTGCGTTGCGTGTGCATTGTGTGCACCCCTGGGCCCCACAGGTGCGCGTGGCAGCCAAGTCAGGAGTGGCATCGGATATCAAGGAGCCAGGGGACTATGCCGGCTTCCCAACGGTATAACCTCCCCACCTACCCACCCACCCACCCACCCACCCACCCACCTACCCACCCACCCACCCACCCCACCCACCCACCCACCCACCCACCCACCCATCCACCCACCCACCCACCCACCCACCCACCCACCCACCCACCCACCCATCCACCCATCCACCCACCCACCCACCCATCCCCCACTCCATCCTCCACTCCCTCATCCGTCCCTGATCTCCCTCCCACTCTTCCTTCTCTTTTTCCTCTCCTTCCTCCTTTCCCTCCCTCCCCATTTCCCTGCCTCCCTCCCTCCCTCCCTCCCTCCCTCGTGTCCCTTCAATCCTTGTGCACACTGCAACGTACACCTTCACACCCACCCCTTCTCTGGATTACTAGTCGCCTTCACAAAAATCCCCCTTCCACTGACTGAGTAGTTACCTTCACATCAACCACCCTTCCCCCCACCCCCCTCTTCCCTCCTGCCCCCAACCTCATTGACTTAACAGTCCCCTTCACACCAACCTCCCTCCCTGACTCACCACTCCCCGCACACCACCCAACCCAACTGCACCGTCTCGCTGCCTCTAGGCAACTCAAAACGCACATTGCATCACGCCCTCTATTGCACGTCCTGTATTTTTTTAAAGCATCAGCAACTTTTTTGGGACCCGTGTTTACGGCAGCATTCAAGACAGTGCTGTAGGTGAATGGTAAAGAGTGCAGATGCAGCTTTTAATCAGTGTGGCTTTTAATCAGTGTGGCTTTTAATCAGTGTGGCTTTTAATCAGTGTGGCTTTTAATCAGTGTGGCTTTTAATCAGTGTGGCTTTTAATCAGTGTGGCTTTTAATCAGTGTGGCTTTTAATCAGTGTGGCTTTTAATCAGTGTGGCTTTTAATCAGTGTGGCTTTTAATCAGTGTGGCTTTTAATCAGTGTGGCTTTTAATCAGTGTGACTTTTTATCTCTTTCCCCCTCGTACTGCCACGATTTTGTCTTTTTTCTTCACAGGTGAAAGCGAGCGAGTGGCGGCGATTGGTGGTTATGGAAAGGAGAATGATGAAGGGAACGGCCCCTGCCGCAGATAGATCCGCGCCATCTTCTAATCCAATGGTGAAGAAGGCTTGAGGCCGAGTGCACGGGGGGTGCAGTATTTGGAAATATGAAAGGGATATATGAGAGCTAGATGTTTTATATTCATATTTCTTAGATAATATTTGTGACGCGTTATAAACGCTGCGCTACAGGCTTCCGAACTCTGGCTTGAAACGCGATTTTCTTCGACCGCCGTTCCGCCCTTGCGCACTTCGTTCCGATTCGACTATTACACGTTCCACACATACGCTAAACTTTGGCGACGTTTCGCACCAACTGGCGTTCATAAGGCATTGTAAGAACCGCACTGCGCCTACTACAGCGCCATGGGTCTGGACGGTGGAACCATCATATCGCGCACCGACGTTATCCGAGGAGCGTCGTGGCGCCTCGCCTCCAGGTCGCTACCGCCAGCGTTACCGTCACTGTTACCGTCACCACTACCGTTACTGTCGCCGATACCGTCACGCTGTCCCAGTTACCGTTGCCGTTGCCGTTACCGTTACCGTCATCGTTACTGACACGACAGGCTATACCTTTTGCACTGTCCCTCTCCAATTTGCTCCCGTTCCAGACTCCCCCTTTGGCTCCGCCGTTTCTTCCCCTACCCTCATCCATCCCCCTGACTTGCGCTTCTCCCGCGCTCTGCGCTCCCCCTTCCCCAATCACTCCGCGCGACCGCAAAGCAGGGACTCCGCGCGGTCGACGCGCGGGGGGCAGCTGTCCGCGGGCGACCTGCTGGGCGGAGAGGAGCGCGTGGGCGCGCGGGAGCAGCGCGACGCTGCGTGGAGTGCGTGCGCGCTGACCGGGGAGGCGCTGAGAGAGCCAATCGTGGTGTGCCAGCTCGGACGACTGTGAGGAGGGGGAGGTGGGGGGAGAGGGGAAGAGGGGGAGGAAAGGGGGGAAGAGCGGGAGGGAAGGGGGAGGGGCGGGAAGGGGGAAAAGGGGGAACAAAGGGCAGTGGCGGGGAAGGGAAGGGGGAACGAGAGGGAGAGGGAGGGACGATGGGAGAGGAGAATAAGATTGGAAAAGAGAGTGTGGAACAGTGGGTGAAAGTTCTGCCATTGTGTTTCTCTCCTTATCCTCCCCCTCCCCCCCTCCGCAACCCCTTCTATTTAGCTACAACCGGGATAGAGTGCTACAGCTAAGACGGGTAACTCTTCTTTTGAGGCGCCTCAAAACTAAGACGGGTAACTCTTCCCTGTCATATTCTTCCTGCTTTCTCCCCCCTCCCTTCTATTCAGCTACAACCGGGAGAGCGTGCTACAGCTGCTGCTGTGGCGAGCGGGGGTTGTTGCAGAGGAGAGCCACAAGGTGAGACACAGCTCACCCTGCTCTGCTCCGCTGTGCGGTGCGGTGCGGTGCGGTATGATCCGGTGCAGCTTTGCTGTCCGTCCCTTCTCTCACTGAGCCCAACCATTCCGGTCCCTCTATACATATCCCCTCTCCACCCTCTCTCTCCCATGCCGCTGCTTGAAAGAGAGGCTGTGCTGCTCTGCGACTTTTGAGACGTCTCAAAAGTTGAAAGAGAGGCTGTGCTGCTCTGCGTCTCAAGCAGCAGTCATCTCGTGCTGCACTGCACCTCCAATCAATTGTGCTTCTTTAACCTTTCCCCGCATATATCCCACCTCTCCATTCCCCCCTTCTCTATCCCTCCTCTTCAACCCCCCTCTCTAACCCCTCCCTCTCTCCTCCACCCCCCTCCCGTCTCCAACCCCCCTATTCCGCATCTCCAAGTCACATCCTCCAATCCTCTCCCCCCTGTTCGCCCGCCCCACCCCCCAAGTGGCGCTTCACCAGGTTGCAGGACCAACTGAACCCCTTCGCATCCCCCCTCTCCACCCACCTTTCTTCCTCTCCACCCACCTTTCTTCCTCTCCACCCCCCCAATTGCCCGTATCCATGTGCCATCCCCCCAAGTGGCGCTTCACAAGGCTGCAGGACCAACTGCACCGCTTCCCATCCCCCCTCTCCACCCACCCCCTTTCCTCTCCACCGACCCCCTTTCCTCTCCACCCCCCTAATGCCCGTCTCCATGTGCAATCCCAACCCCCCCCAGTGGCGCTTCACGAGGCTGCAGGACCAACTGCACCGCTTTGCACACATCCGATCCACCAAGGTGAGAGTAGGGGAGCAGGGGAGCAGCGGGGACGGAGGAGCGAGAGAGGGGGGGAGCGGGGGAATGAGCGAGAGAGCAACAAGAGAGCAACAAGAGAGCAACAAGAGAGCAACAAGAGAGCAACAAGAGAGCAACAAGAGAGCAACAAGAGAGCAACAAGAGAGCAACAAGAGAGCAACAAGAGTGCAACAAGAGAGCAACAAGAGAGCAACAAGAGAGCAACAAGAGAGCAACAAGAGAGCAATGGAAGCATTGACTGCTCGCCACCTTCTTGAGCCTACCCATCTTGTCACAGTGCGCTTCCCCTCAGTCGACCATCCAGCCCACAGCAGCCGACTGAGTCGTGACAGGACTATAAACTACTGTATCAAAATAACCTTTGAGTCGACTCTATAGTTTCCCCCTCCCCCTCCCCCCTCCCCCTCCCCCTCCCCCTCCCCCTCCCCCTCCCCCTACCCGTCCCCCTCGCCACTTCCATCGGGAAGTCCCCCCTCGCATACTGTGCACCTCCCCTCCCCCCTCATCCGCTCTCTCTTGCCACTCCCATCAGGACATTGTCACGGTTCGCTTCCCCTCAGTCGACCATCCAGCCCACAGCAGCCGGGGTAACAGCGGCCGGAGGGACAATGGCGGGGGTAACAGTGGCGAGGGTGAGAATGGGACCAATGATGATAGCAGCAAGTGTGGTGGCGATACCAACCCTGCTGGTACTGCTGCTGGTCCTGTTGGTTCTGCTGCTGCTGCTGCTGCTGACGCATTGAATGCATCTGCTGCTGCCCCTAGCTGTAGCAGAGGCGGTGGCAGCAGCGCAGCCAGAGGCAGCAGTGCGGGCAGCAGCAGCAGCAGCAGAAGCGGCGGCGGCAGCAGGGACGCGTCGCACTGGGTTTGCACGCTTTCAGGCGTGTCAGCCAGCAATGGCCAGCCGTGAGTGGGTTACATGAGGAAGTAAGGCACAAGGGGCAGCGGGGGCACATGGGTTTGTACGCTTTCAGGTGTCTTTGCTAGCAATGTCACGCAGCAATGTTACGCACAGGGCAGCAGGGCACACAGGGCAACAGGGCACACAGGGCAACAGGGCACACGGGGCAGCAGGGCACACGGGGCAACAGGGCACACACGGGGTTGTTACTGCATATTTCTTGCCATTGTTTTCATGCCGGTGCCAGTGAGATTGCCTCTTTTGAGGCGCCTCAAAAGGGCACATGGGGTTGTTACTGCATGTCTCTTGCCATTGTTTTCATGCCAGTGGTGCCAATGAGGTGAGAATGCCTCAGCGCCACCTGTCTTATCCCCCACCAATCCCAATCCCTTCCCATCCTTCTTCCTCCCATTTCCCGTCCCTCGCATCCCCCATCCCTTCCATCCTCCGTTCCTCTGTACACAGCTTCTCTCTCCTCCGCCCCTGCGGACATGCCTTCAGCACACGAGCCCTGGCTCAGGTGCGGCTTCAGGGCAGTGACTTTTGAGTCGACTCAAAAGTCATCCCTGGCTCAGGTGCGGCTTCAGGGCTGGTGGTGTGCACGCGCATAGGTGATTTTCGGTAATGGCTCAGGTGATTTTCGGTAATGGCTCAGGTGATTTTCGGTAATGGCTCAGGCAATTCTTGGTAATGGCTCAGGTGATTTTTGGTAATGGCTCAGGTGATTTGTGTGATCACGTAGGTCATTGCATTGAACTCTTTTGTGTCAAAACCAGATGCCAGTGTGACATTCCTTTCTTCCCTTCTTGCTCTACCTCTCCCCCGTTCTCCCTTTTGCGTTCTCTTTCTGGGAACCCCCGTCAGTTGAAGGAGAGGCAGTGCCCTGTGTGTGGGACGGATTATAATGGAAGTTCTCATGTCACTCCCATCAACCCCACAGCTGACCAGGTAAGTAGTGCATCTGCTAATTTAATGCATATGATGATACTATGCCTGAACAGGTTACAGTGTAACTGGCCAGATGGAATTGTGCTAGCGTTGTTGTGGCCCTCGATATTCCCTTCTTTAGTTACATTCTTCTTGTGTGCTGGATTAGCTTGTAGTAAATTTGGGGCATTAAGTTGTGCATCTTGCGTTACAAGAATGCAGCATTTGTCAACGCCATTTTTTGTGGATGGCAAACTCAGGTGGAGCACTTACAGCAACAACTGCAAGTGAAAGGTCGTGGCAAGAGAAAGGGTGTGCCAGCATCTGATCACAGTCCCGGGTGTCATGCCGAATTTCCATCGGTATGTCAATCTGTTGCTTTTCTATTATTTTCAAAGTTTCAGTCGAGCTCTCTTGTCCCGTTGTCGCATGTATGAAAAGTTTGCTTGTGTCATTTTTTTTATATATATATATTTTTTTCGGGTGGGGAACAGAAGAATCAACGGTGTTGCAAGAAAACAAGAGATTAGTATTCAATCTGCAAAGCCCTCTTCGTAACACTCGAGTCATTCTGTAACGAGGGTTTTGCAAATAATACTTCGTGAATCACTTCACGTGCTCGGCCAGCTTGAGAAAGTACTGTTGGAAATCTTATCAAGCTTCAGCAGAGCCAACGATCATTCAAGGTCCTTCGCGCTCCACCCTTTTTCTTGGTTAGTTGATACTGTACAGTGGATGTCGGGGTCAGTCTCGTGGACAATCTCTAAAGAATATGCATTCCCCAGTGCAGGCCCTACGAAGTCAGACTTTTTTCTCTGATTTGCACAAAAAACTCTGATATTTCAGACTTTTTTTCCAGTGTACTCTGTTAAAATCAGACTTTTTTGGGCCCAAACTCTGTAATTTTCAGACTTTTTTTAAGGCTAACTCTGAGAGTTCGGAGTTTTCTGAGAGTGTACTCTGATCATTCAGAGTACAAACGCGTCCTTGACTGGTGATTTGGACTTACGGGTCACAACAGATTCGCAATGTCGACGCAAAATCGCCTTGACACAGCAAATCCGAGCCTTACAGCACAAGATTTTCGCCCAATCATAGCAAAATCGCCCTGACACAACAGATTTGCGCTGTCAGAGCACAATACTTTTCGACCAATCACAGAAAATTCGCCCTGACATTGCAGATTCGCTCTTTCGCACCACAAGATTCGCCCTGACACATATATTCGCCCTGTCACAGCATGCTTTATCGGAAATCCCCTTAGTGTTGTGTGTTTCGGTAGCAGACGAATGAAACATTGATTACATTCCGATGAAACATTGAATACATTGTTTTTGAATGATCAGACTTTTTTTTTGGGACACTCTGAAATTTCAGCCTTTTTTTTATACCAACTCTGAGATTTTCAGACTAAAATTGTGTACTAGTCTGACGAATCAGACAGGCCAAAAACGAATCTGAGGGCCTGCCCCAGTGGTTAATCATTCTTCTGCACTAGGGTAACCGGTGAGAAAAAACTCAACTGGGTAACCGATGTTTCACCTTTTGTTTTTGCAATCGAAAAAACCTCACCTCAAATTGAGGCACACCACCACCCTGCAAACGCCGCCTCTTCTGCGCGTACCCTCTCTGGCGGAAATCACCTCGACGATCGGCTGGTTTCTCTAGCACCGCAGTTGCCCCAATCGCCCTCTTTGTCAATCATGTCTTGGTGCTCCCTACTCTTTGTCAAACATGATCGGTTGATTAATCTCGTGGGTATACACCTAACCACCGCTATTTTCTTTCGGTCTATTTTCAACCCCACTTGCACAAGTGGGGTATGCACCCTTTCTACGGTAAATCTTTGACCGAGGGTTGTGTGGGGCATCATTAAATTTTAGCGAGAGTCTGTTCCAGATCCCCGACGAGAGTACTGTAGAAGTGGCGCTATGGATTCAGATTCGTATAATGAGTTTAAACTTCGAGCATTAGGCGTCATTCATAGCCCCAGTCATCTAAGTGTCGAGCTGAAATAGACGAAAAAGTGCTGCAGGGTAACTTTGAAGCGCGAGATTAGTGGGTTGGGTTTCCCCTTGAAAATAGCGGTGGTTAGGTGTACACCCTCTTTTGCGCTACACTGACAATGAGATTCACAGGCTACAGTGTGTACTGTTGCTTGGAACGTAGCGGTCTCGTGCTTACAGCCGAACTGCAGGTAGTGACGGACAAATGGACTCCTGGTGAACGGTACACAACGGTTTTCAGAAAACAACTTGCTTTGGGGTACGGTTGAGTGCGGGCAAACGTGCTTATATCGTATGTGCATGGACCATCCTGGACGCATTGATGTGTGTACATCCGATCAGTTAGTATAGCCATTAACAGTGTAGCGCGAAACAGGGTGTATTTGCTCTCTTGTTGGCTCTTTCTCGAATATCCCATCTGGATTTTCCTCTGACAATTCACCCGCCCATTTTGGCCGTAATGTATGCACGGGCCATTGGATCCATTGTTTTGCGTGGCGATTTCCATTTCAAGGAGCTTTCCGCTGTGGCGTGTGATGTTAACAGCAAGTCTGTGACATAGGCTGGAAGGCGATGGTGCCGGACGTGACAAAGTATCCCATTGTTCGCCTTGCCAGGCGGTTCTCGTTACGGCGGCGATCTGAACAAGGAGCGCCGCCGATCTCGTCCAACATCACGTTTGCCCAGCTAGGCCTAGGGGAGTCGTAGTGTCGAGCCTCTCTGAAAGGACAGTCTTGAGACAGTTCACCTTCGATTTTCCAAGGGTCAACTGAAGACGTTTAGCCACTCAGCCTTCGTTCGCATCGCATCGTATCTCTTCGCAGATACGCTCGCCTCACTCCTTTCTGATCGACGCGCCATCACAGTTCAGTACAGTGGTGTGTTGCGAAGAATGCGCGTGAGGCGCAGGTGGGGTGTGCGTAGTGAGTGATCGATCATTCTGGTTCCGAAGGCTTGTATTTCCTGAGTGATCAACTCACTACACATACATATGTGCAAAACAAGGGTCCTTCTCGAGAAGCCTCGGGTGACTCGGGTCACAGTACAGTACCACACGCCCTTTTTTTTTTTTTGGTCCTCCTCCGCCTCCGTCTCTGTCTTTGAACGGAACGGACAAACTTTTCCCAATTCGTAGTATGGTGGTATATAGTAGCGTATCCACGGCATCCCAAGGTGCATGCTCCCACAACGTATGATCTGGCGTGGGCTTGCTAACAGTCGCGGATTACTCAAAGGTTCATACGAGCAGGAACAATTAAACACGGGCGAATCCAAGACCGCTTCCGCGTGCTCGCGGAAGCGATCTGCCCGCGGGCAAGAAAAAAAACTAAAACCCATCCGGAAGGCACGCGGCTCGGGAGGCATCAACCCTAAAATTTTAGGGTTGAGGCTCCCGAACGCCATGCCAGTCGCGATGGGGAATCGTTTTTTTTGCCCCCGGGCAGACAGCTTCCGCCGGCTCCGCGTCCTGGTGGAAACGGCTGCCACCAGGAGGGGCACCTGGTGGATTCGAATCCACCAGGGCTCAGATGGACTCAACAAAAAATGGGACGCCACTTTTGGGCCTCTGGAGGGGGTATGAGCATGTATTTCGAGTGTTACAATGCGCAGGCAATCAAGAAAGAGTGCACACGAGTGTGGGGTGTATGCGCAACCTGTCGCACCCATCCCCCAAGTTTCTGCGCTTTGGCTGGCGTATCCTTTTGGCGACTCTGGAGCGCGCTGTAGAAATGTTTTGTTGCGTAAAATTACTATAGCCCTAAAACACAATCATCCATAACTTAAGATAGGCAGTCAAGTGTAAGAGAATATATATTTTAGACGTAAATGCTTGCAAATATATCCGCAAAAAAAATGGCAAATACCTTATTGAAACAAAATTTCCCATAGTGAAGGTCCATGTTTTGTACAGTGCACATCATGAATATATATGCATCAACCCTATAAATATAGTTACAGTACAAATAGTGCTCATCAAGATGAATGCGGAATATCCGATTAAGAAATGCTGTTTTATTTTCAATCATTGCCACTCCCTTGGCGGGGAATATTTTGGAAGTTAATATTTTAGAGTTTCAAAAGAACACCAAATTTAATTTAGTATGAACAAGTATGTTAGAACCTATTTCACACTTACGTGTCTGTTAGCGATCGTACCTTATGTTGGGAACAAATAAGTTAAGCGTCTCTGTCGTGTCAATACTCAAGACACAAAACGAAGCAGCTCAAGTCGGAACAGCGCGAGTCAACCAACGAGGTTAACGTAACCGTCGGAGGTTACGGGAAAGTCAAAGGGCAGCGACCTTTGACCTGACGCAGCGCGACAGCAAGGACAAACAACTGACTCGACATTGAGCAGTTGCCCGAGTCGCATGTCAGAGGTCCACTGGTGATCCCCGATTGATCCTAGGGAAGGGTTACAGGCACGGTTGCCTGGGGGGTTATGGGCGCACTGACCCGCTACTGAAACAAGCCCTTTTATCCCAATGGTTAGTGGTTGGGATTCTGAGATGGTATCAGAGCGAAGGTCTCGGGTTCGAATCCCGGTGTATGCACTTCGGGCATCCTAGTGCGGGGGGGTGTCAGAGGTCCACTGGTGATCCCCGATTGATCCTAGGAAAGGGTTACAGGCACGGTTGCCTGGGGGGTTATGGGCGCACTGACCCGCTACTGAAACAAGCCCTTTTATCCCAATGGTTAGTGGTTGGGATTCTGAGATCGCACTGTCAGAACATATAGCTTACTTGTTTGTGTAGGCTATAGTGGGGTATCCCATAGGGGGTACAACACATTAGGGTTTCCTATTTGTATTCACTTCACTTCATAGTCATTCATTCTCGTTCTTTGTTTTCACATGGAATCAGAGCAGGTTCCCTCCTAGGGACTGCTTCTAGGGCCCACCGAACCGCGCCCCGAGGCGCGTTTTTTTTTTTTAGCGACCCGTCGTGTCGCCCCTAGCGGACCGTTGCGCCGCCCTTCCCCTCGCGGCTCCGCCGCCCTTCCCTAGCGGCCCCGCCGCCCTTCGATCGCGGCCCCGCCGCCCTCTGCTACGCGGCCCCCCCCGCCGCCCTTCGATCGCGGCCCCGCCGCCCTCGGCTACGCGGCCCCGCCGCCCTCTGCCTCGCGGCCCCGCCGCCCTCTGCCTCGCGGCCCCGCCGCCCTCTGCTACGCGGCCCCGCCGCCCTCTGCTACGCGGCCCCGCCGCCCTTCGATCGCGGCCCCGCCGCCCTTTGCCACGCGGCCCCGCCGCCCTCTGCTACGCGGCCCCGCCGCCCTCTGCTACGCGGCCCCGCCGCCCTTCGATTGCGGCCCCGCCGCCCTCTGCTACGCGGCCCCGCCGCCCTCTGCTACGCGGC